GGGCTGGGAGTGACGGGAAGAAGCGGAGCCACAGGAAAAATCCGGATGGGCGAGGTGCGGGACCCCGCACGCCAGGGTGCAGGGCTCCGCGGGGACAGCCTCGCTGGGAGCAGGACACTGTATCACGCACAGGGAATGCAGCGGCGCTGCCAGCCGGGCAGCAGATCTTAAAAAACAAAATTCATTTGCGTTTGAGACAACGGAAGCTTTCTCGTAAAGAAATGGAGATGGCTACCACCTGCCTAGTGTTCTGTCAAGCAGGACAGTACCACGTGAGGCTGCCTGTGAAGGAAACGTTTTGCTTGCTTTCTATTCTCATACCACCAAAAAAAATATTAGGAAGATACACTTAGAGAATCCAGACAATTAACAAAACACGCTAAAGACTCAAGGGTTTTTTCCCTCAGCTTTAGTCGCTTAGTTAACTGCACGATTTAAAACTTCTGTACAACATTTTAATTCCAAATAAACTATCTTCTGCTGCTATACTTGGGTAAAAGACCCATAAGGCAGATTTATATTTATTAATAGAAGTCGATTCCATAAACCTTTAGGAACCCTTCAAGAGCATGAATAGGATTTAGACATCTGAATTCCACCTCTACTTTGTCTTTCTCCTTCCTACCCTGACGCTGCACACGCGTCCATTCTATTTCAGCACGTGACAGGCAGAGGCATGGGGATGCGTCTCACACAGTCCTGCAGCTGGTGCTTCTGCAGGTGAGACCCCCGCAAAGGCTTAGAACAAGAACTGTGGTCATTAACAACATGGGGGTATATTCTGAGGGACTCAAGTGCTAGATCCTCCGTGAAACTTGCTTTGTTTAATAACGGCAAAACCCAACTTGTTACAAATAGAACTGCTGGAGCAGTCTGTTTGGTATCGAACCTACTCCATTAATAGTTTGATGTAAGATACTACCTGAGAAGTCTTTAGCATACAGCTGAGGTAAAATCAGATTAACATGTTATCTGAGCAAAAAATAACACAGAATATAAGGTAGTTTATACTTTGGTTGTCTTTTTTTTTTTTTTTTTTTTTTTTTTTATAAGTGTGTACTTAAAACATTTGCTCTCACTAGGAGCAACGGGTAGCATTATACCTGTGCCCTTGCAGGATAAAGAAGGTGAAATATTACTGTGTTACTCACAGACCTCAGCCTCAGTTCTGGACTGTACTTCAGCACACACCTAAAAACTTTCATTGAGGAGCCACACCTCTCTAAACTGAAACCTTAGTCTGGAAGACAAACATTCTTCAAACATTGTTTTGGCAATGTCAGTGCTGGGCACCCAAACCATGCTCTGTCAGGTTTAAATGCAAGCACTGTGTAAATAAACGTAAGCAATATGACAAAATTATTTTAGGCCAGCGTTCCAAACTCAACACCTGGCCTAGGAAGGAAAAGCCCTTTATTTTTGCTGTGGGTTCAATGCAGATCTTTTAATAATTCCCTCAAGAATACTAACAACCATTTGACTGAGACAAAGCTGGTAGCGTAGCCTTTACCCCAATTTTTTTCTGCTCATTTTTACTTATCCGTAACTGAAGTTACTTAAATTTAAGCCAGACACAATATCCTGGCTGTCGCAACAAATCATATTGCAGAGAGCTGCATTCTGCAACATAAGGACATTAAAAAGTAAGCCGCCTTGTCCCTGCCACCCGGCAAAATTTCTCAAAAGAACATAAACGAAAATAAACCAAGCAAAATTTTGTATCATGTACTTGCCTCTAATCTTAAAAAGTTAGCAAAAAGAGAAAAATTTAACTCAGAACACCTGATTTTTCAAGCTATTTTTAGGTTTTCATAATTGAATAATTAGCAAAAACGTTGCTTAAGCAAGCAAAATCATTGTTTTGAATGCCTGACTGCTTACATAAGTAATAGAATCATAAAGCCAGTGCTTTAACGTCCTGTTCTAGTTTGCTTATAACCAGCTCACACAGCACGCTCTAACTCGAGTCTCAGATGTTGACAAGTCATAGTTGTGGAATTCAGCCCTAGTGTAATCATTCAGGGCAGAGTTTAAAATAAACCGTGCTCATTAATGTGGTCATTATAAGGCTCTTAGGGCAATTATCAAAATGCGCGACATTCAAACATTTTCAGAAGTATCTGGGGCCAGATTCTCTTCAGCCAGTGGCAAGGAGAACTGCCCTCAGATTAGACTGGTGCTTTGGTTTCCCATTTCCCAGGTACAGGTAAACAGCAGAAGAAAATCAGCCTCATCACCTTTTGTTAAAAAGTAAGAGTACTGAGGTAATGAAAAGGAAGACAAAATGTTCAAAAATAATCTGCAAATAAAGAAATACTCCGTCTGTCTGCTCAGCGCCAAAAAACAGCTTGTTAATCAGTATTCAAGGGGTTCTGTTACAAGGACTGAAGACAAAAGCAACAATGCTAGAGCTGACCAGCCACAAGTTCCTGGGATTTTTAGTCCAGTTCATAAGGTGTTCACCATGCACCCCCATTAGGGTATTGCGCGCTTCACAGAAGAATGCCCATACATGCTTGCAGCTGTACTGAAGCGGCATTCTCGCTATCACCTGGCTAAATGCGTCACTTTAATCCAAAGGGTACTAATAAGACAATTACAATGGAAGCTTTTCTCTCTCATTACCTAATTCTGCCATGGACACAGTTGGAGAGGTCTCCCCATTTGTAAAAGAACAATAAGGGAAGAAGCCCGATGCTGGTGTGTAGTCACATATTGGTTCTGGTTTGATTCCATTAATATCAAGACCCGACTGATCTGGAGAAGGCTGTATGTCTAAGTAGAAGCTGCTAACTGCAGAGTCTGCTTTGCTACCTTCAGGGGTATGCCCATCAATGTAATTACTGAGGTCATCATGTAGCTCTGTTAACCCATTGGTGGTGATATTGTATGTTGGTGTTAGTGGTTCTGCCTCTCCTGGTTGCTGCTGATGATCTCGCTGCTGCTGCTGCATTCGATGTTTCTGCACCTCCGCATACAGGCTGTCCCTCTGCTTCTTTGACATTCGACCAAACTTTACGGCTGAAATACAGACACACAATATATCACATTTCTACAAATCCACTACTGCACTTTAATCGTCTGGGGTCTTTGGATACTACACGTGAGGACACAGTACAAAAGGCAGATCAGCAGGATGGGCAGACCTACGAATCACTTCTGTCCATTACAGGTAACGCAGCCACAGCATCCACTCTTTAAAAGACCCTTTTAATGTGCTACTTCAGCAGACCACTAGAAGTCAGGGTCTTAGCTTAATTCATTAACTTTCTGCTTCTACAGTGAAAAAATTTTCTCTTGCATATCCACCGAAGTTGACAGATGCATCTCTTCAGCATTCCAATCCTAACTGGAGAAGTAGAAGGTAGAACAGAATATGCTGGCCTGAGATGAACTGTCCAATTCCTACTAGCTGTAGAACCTAGAGTTAGGTATAAACATGTGGGGTCTACCCCCAAGAGTATCAAAAGCGGGCTTTATAGATGTTAGGGAAGAACCACAGAACCCACTTTCAGTGCGGCTCACTGTGAGAAGCAAAAACATTCACCCGGTGAATTATTGTTAAAATTCTATGTGTGCGTGCGCATGTGCATGCGTAACTCTCCACAACATTATTACTCCTTTGAGAAGTATTACTATTAAGCATAAGCCAGAAGCAACTAGTTTGGCACATCCAGGGAATTCCTAAGAACATGGTCTGTGATTTCTGGGACCTGTATCAGCTGTAAAAGCCTCACCATTTAGGAAGATGACTACCACCTTGTACTTTTCTACAGGAAGGCAAACATGTCAGAGAAGCTAGCCATTACATGATCAACTGTTTCACGTTTTTAGTTTCATGGCCAGTAAAAAAATTAAGATAACGTCATTCAAGAAGTAAATATAATCTGAAAATTATCTTAATCGGGCCTCATGTACATAGAGCAACGCACAGGTGACTGTAGAGTGTGTAGTGTTGCTGCCTCTAATGCCGGGGAAAAGACTGAGTCAGATCTTCCAGTTGGGGAAGCGATGGCAGCTTCATTCCATCTGTGGGGGAGGTGTGCAAATATCAGCTGCAAATCCAGTTCTAATTGAGTTACATAAGCTTCCATTTTACAGAGGTGGGTTTTCGTCATTACGCTAGGTGTAATTTTGAGCTTAATGTTAACAGCACTGAACACATTTTCTTCACAATTCTGTCTTTGGAAAAAAACTGCACTATTTTCTCATTGCATTTTTTTCCACTATTCATTATACACACATTTAAACTTCCGTATATATGGTGAAACAGTTCTGATACTGCAACTATAGTACGTCACTTAAATTGGAATGAACACATGGAGAAAGTATTAACATTAGACCAAAAACTGCATTTTTCAAGAAGCGACCAGAGGCAAAGCTCTTAACTGTTAAGTGTAATAGATGAGTAAGAAAAAAAATAAATCCAAGAACTTCATACATGCCTCGATTTATATATATTTATGTGAATACATAGCAACATACAAAACCCACTCGCTGATCTCAACTATCAGCCCAATGCGCAATTAAATTTTTAAATCCTATGTTGTTTTAGTTGAACACAGAGAGTATCAAGCATTATTTTACTTTTTGCAGTTAGGCTCTGCCTTAGCAGTGCTTACCGTCTCGAGACATCCCCACAGCAAGGCATTTCTGTAATCGACAGTGTTGGCAGCGGTTTCTACTAGTTCGGTCAATCAAACAGTTCTTCTGACGAGGACAGGAGTATGTAGCATTGCTTTGCTGACTCCTCCTGAAAAAGCCCTGTAATAGAATTACAAAATACAAATCAAGAAGCTAACTGGTGGAGCAAATAAAGACTCTGAAAGGTAGCATACCTAATAGAAAATGAAGTTCAAGTGCACTATAGTCAACTAAAGGAAGTTAAGAGGGTGGGGTTTTTTTCTCTCGCCTAGAAACAAACAAAACAGAGTAACTAGTAGGAAGCAGTTCATAAAAAAGTGTTATGACACATAAAGGCATTGCCCGCTTTTTCACTGATTTTACAGATCCCATATTACACATGGAACACTGATTCTTTCCAAATAAGCTAAAACTAAGCATAGACCTCGATTCCCTTCATTTCCTATCCTTCCTGGTCAGCATAGATCTCCAAAATAGGGAGGATACAATAGCTAGTCAATTCAGCAGCTGCTACCCTGTTCTGCCCTTTGGAGGTAACAATGTTCAGCCTCAGCACTATATGTATGTGTTCAAAAATACAGGGCAAGATGCTGAGCAGTTCCTCCTACAAAAAAGATTTTTTACAAGTATTTTTTCTTAATTAGTTTGATGCTGACAACCAAGGTTTTGTTGAACTCAGCGCAGGATTTAGATTTTTAAGGAGGGGGGGAAGCTGAAACCGATTTTGTGTATTGCCCCTTGTCTGAGTCAACTGCAATGGGTAGACCCATCTCCAAAGAAAGTTAGCGCTGGAAGGTTACGCAGCAGTTACAGCTTAGTTCTCTCCATCAGAATGGTGCGTGTTATTAATCACTATGCCAGCTGTTTGCTTTGAAGTTCATTTCATCTTTTTGCCACAGACTGTCCAAACATATGCCGGTGTGTGTGTAATACCGACTTCACAAGGATTCTGCAAAGATGTAGTCATTCTAAAGAGGCATTTGAGATCAGTGAGCACAGTATTTTAGTTTTATGTTGCCACATAATGGATTAATTAACAGCACTGCAAAGAAAATACTTCCTCAGAAAGGCTGGGCACCTTTTAATTAAAGTTGGACTTTTACCAATTTTTTATTTATTCAAAGGCCACACTCTGGAGTCCCTTGTCACATGCACACTCTGTCCAGCCACTTGGTGAAATAAACAAGGGGAAGGACTTCTGCACAACAAGTAAGACTTCCTAGCAAACTTCCTGCAGACAGGAACATGACAAAACACTGAGACAAACCCCCCCCGCTCCATCTCAGGAGGGCGGCACTGGTCTTCATCAATTATGCCCCTTCTCTTAAAGCTTTAATGGGGAAACATGGAGCATAAAAAAAAATAAATTAGGAAACAGAATATGCCTGTCTTTAATCCTGTTTTCCTGTATATTGTTTCTCACCCATTTACTCTGGTCCTTGTTTCTATATGATTGAACTTTCAACTGTTTTTTTAATGTTTGTCAATAGCGAGACGACCATCACTGAGACTTAAAGTATTGCACGTATTGAGTACTAACCGAGTGCATTTCACGCTAAAGAAAACCTGAAATAGCATGGAAATTTCTACCATTCCACCATCACGACTGATCCCTCTGGAGGAACCAGCTTGTAGGTAAGTAGACAGCTCAATTTCCAGTTCTGTTGCACCCTTAGGGGAGCCTGTTACTCCAGTGCAAGTACACATGCAAGTGCAAACCGATTCACTAGAAAAACAGGATTAGGTATTGACCCGACCGGTGACCTGCTGATCGAGGTTCCACACCTCCGCATTATTGGTCCCTTAAAATTTCAGTTCTCCAAAGAATTTAGCAGTTGCACTGAATGGCATGCTCGCATACGAACTGTATGAAATCTTCTGCCACCACCGAGATCCTGAAGGTCATCTTAATCAATATGTAAAATGAACCTGGCCCAATAACCTCAAAGATCTATATGTTTTCCTTTAGCTGGGACATGTACTGAGCCTATACTGCCAGTTTGGCGTATTTCTCTTTATTAAGAATATTCTTGTCAAGCTAAGGATTATTTTTAGTATTATAACGGAGAAAATACTGGGCTGTCTGCTTTTCCAGATCTTCCCTAGAGACACAGCTGCTCAATACATTTTAGCGTAGAATGTATCAGCTAAGTTACAGCTTGAAGCTAAATTTTCAATAGAGCAGAACTGCCTGAAACTGGGGCCTTTAAAAGCACTTGCACTTTACAAAACAGAGATGTAGTAGAGTGCTTTTAAAAACAAATCCTGCAATGTTATGTGGGCATGATAAAAACATCAGCAATAGCTAAACCAAACCAAAACAAAAAAACCAAAAGAACTTGCTTCAAACTTCAGAAATTGATCTGAACTTGACCAGAGCTCAGAAATCTGAGATTTGGGATTGACTTGACAATGAAGTTAAACTGAGGGTTTTTTTACTCTCAAAGTTCCTCTGTATTGTAATTTATTTGTGAGTTTTCTAACCTTTCGGTGGTCCTTCGGCTCTCGTATCATTGTAAGACATGTGGGGAAGCCCCTATTACAGGTGCCTTCTGTAAGGAAATACAGTTTCTTCCTAGGTTGGGTTTTCCCCCCCCTTTTATTAGAAGGAGAGATGCTATATGCTGCTGTTCTATTTCCTCTCTTTTGCCAGAGGCACAGAGCTAGCTATAATTTTTCCACCAGGAAGGAGGAGGTGGATGCATGCATGGTACACGTGTATACATTCAAGCATTATGCAAACCAGCCCAGGCCACATGCTCTTAATTGCATGCATGATCACAACCATTATTTCACATTCAGACGATTGCCTAATGGGCCACAGGCAGAGTGGACCCCTCTTGATCAAACACACAAACGAAACTCCTTAAAAAACGTCACCACGTTACACCACTCTGACCGATGGCATGGTCTGAGCCAAGGCCTCCGGTAGAATGCGCTCCTGTGAGTGCATGGAGCCCTGCCTCCTCCTGATGTCAGTATAAAGATCCAGCTGATTTTGATGAGGCGTCATTGAGCTTTGCATGTCTCTCTTTTTATGTAGATGTATTAACACGGTGCCAGAAAAAGAGCAGAGCAGAGCAGATTACAAGCCATAGCTCCATCTCTGCATTTCAGACTCCTATTTATACACAACACAATATATGGTTTTTCATATGCTGCCAAGAAATCAAGTTTGGGAAAAAAGGGCGCAAGAACTTTTCATCTCCAAGTCAGTTTGAATAACAACTTGTTAAAAAAGAACTTTGAAATGTAAATAGCAGTTTTCGCAAAGTCTATTAATAGTTTCAATAACTCCACTGCTCAGTGGCCCGGTATTATAGATGTTTGTGTCTAAGCTTGCTCCTTAGCCGGGGAAAAGCCAGTTGTGCTTCCCCCAGGTCCCAAATGGCACAGCACAGACTCCCCCTCTACTGCGGCACAGGCTGAAATGCTGATCTCATGTTTGGTCTTTTGACAAATTTTCATTTAATGAATTGATTCCTACAGTTCATTAACATACCCACTTCCACTTCTGTATACACATATGTCTTAATTAGCTGCTCATTGGCTGTTTAATTACAAGAAAACAGCTGACAGCTGCCTTGCTGCATCCTAATAGCAGACGTTTTGGAATGACTGTATGCAAGCCTGTGACAACAAAGGCTTATTCATAATCCCATGATTTATGGCTAATACTTAAAGACTTCCACGTATCATTAAGTTTTGCAATATTCTGAGCAATTAAAAATTAGGGGGAGGGTGTCATTCTTTTACTGTTTTCTAAACCAAACTCACAAATTTTCTTTAGAGAAACATCTGAAAAATATACTGTCATATGGAAGACAGGTGAACATTCAAAGTGGCTTTTTAACCCTTTTATGACAACGAGCATGTTTTAGTTATAAAGGGAGGAGAGTGCTGTGACAATATTGTTTAATAAGCTTTGTTAAGAAAGGGTTTGATAACAAAGTTCTAGTGCCACTGCAAACAGAGAAAAAATGTTCAGTTTTACATATGTAATAGACAGGAGTGAGATTGTGTTTATCAGGTTATACAAGGCTTCTGACGAGCCCTTTCTGTAACGTGGCTCATCTCTTTTCTAACATGTTTTGCTTGAAATTGGCTAGGCAAAAAATCAAAAAAAGAAAAACTTCAAAAGCCTGAATTAGAGATAAATGTTTGCAACACCAATATGACACTCCGTGTTCAATAGAGTAACGAAAAATTGGCTAGTAGAGAAAGTGAGTGAAACGAATGAACAGAAGTAACGCAAGGTGGGAAGTGACAATACACCAGGTATTGTTTTCCAAAGTAACAACCACAGATGTTCCTTGTAGTTACAATGAACAAGACCATCTTAGGTCTTAAAAGACACAAGAGCCAAAAGCCAGTACCTATAAACCTTTGAAAATACAAGAAACATCCAGAAATGCCCCCATGGATGGTTTTATAAGACCAACTGCGTACAGTCAAGTAAAGAGAGGGATCCCACTAATGCATGGGTGAGTCAGTCAGGCATGAAATGACACTACTGACAGCAGAAGCAAGTAACTGCATCTGCTAATTAAAACACATTGTTCATTAACAAAAACTTCATTTCAAACTAAATGCTCTGCTATGACTTTTTGAAGCATTCAGGTATTTTCTGACAATGCTTAGCCGGATTCAGCTTTCAGCTATGAGAAAAAAATATAGATGTGTACAAACCAGCCTCCTTCCTCAGCATGGTCCCTAGTACAGAACAAATGGGTTGCTGTTAATGGGTTCCCACAACTAATGGCTGAGGAAGTGCTCCATACGGATACTAGTTTTTTCAGTAGTGCTACTACAATAGTAGTATTTCCAATCTTACACAGGAGAATAAACTTTTATTTCTGAGTCATGGTACAGTCTTTCTGTCTGTCTTCATCCATGCTTCTGAGTAAAAGTTACATGATTAATCTCACCTTCCCTTTTCCCCATTATATGTTGTACACTGGGCATCAGCAGTGGTCGGATTAAAAAAACCCTTCTCTTTTAGAATTTATTTTCTTTATAATAAGCCACAGGAGCCCTCCTAGACAAAGAATAAAACAGAGCCTGGCTAAAAAATTAATTTTTTTACTAGGGGTGGAAAGAGGAGGAAGTGCTAAATTTTATTTTTTAAAAGCAGATTCAAATTCAGCTAAATAGGTTGATGGGATGGGAGTACTCAATGACATTTGTGCAAAACACAGGCACTAACTTCATAAACCCAGCCAGTAACATCACAGCAAGGTAGGAAATGAAAACTTCTCAAGAAACACTAAATGGCTTCATCACAACTCTTCAATTCTAGTTATGTGAAGCACAATATAACAACAAAAACTGGTCGGAAAACTGTCAGTGAAATGCAGGGGTCACAAATCTGTAGAAGGGCAACAGGCTCAGCAAAAGTTGGTTTCACAAGAGCTTGTCTGTGATTTCGTACATGATGCAGATCAAGATTGCAAAGTGGGTCTTTGCAACTAAAGCTTCACTTTAGGCTTTAAATAATTTGTATTTCTGGTGGTTATTAGTATTTACACAGTAACACTTAAGTTAACATTACTATTAAGTAACATTAAAGTTCACACCAAACTAGAGCGAAAACTGGTGAGAGCTGCAAACACCTCACTTTGCTGCTGCTATTGCTGCCTGTAGATCATTCTTGACAGCCCTGGCTTGAGAGGGCAGCAGCACATCTGTTCGCTTCTGATGACTGAGGCCCTGATCCTGCAATCTGATGCACATGGATGGGTTTGTAGCACCTGTGCAGAACCTCACTGACTTCTCTGGGACTGTCTGTTGGTGCAGGACATCGGCTCCAGGAATCAGAGCACAGGAACTAGGTCTTCATAGCAAAAATACTTTTTACAAAAGAAGGTTTAGCATAACATGAAGAGCCATGTAAGCATGCTCAAACCTGCAGAGATCATAGCCACAGAAAAGCTGGGGAAAAAAACGTACCAATACACACCTGGCTCATTTGGCAGAAGCCAAGCTATGCCAACTTTTTCACCAGCCAAAA